GCGGGCCTTGGTGCCGGTGCTCTGGTGGTGCTGGCTGCCCGCTGGCCGGTGGTGCGGGTTTCGGCTGGGCGCTGGCTGGGTTTTTGTTGTTCAGAAGTGACTGGGCACCACGTGAGAAGGGGGAAGGACAGGGGAGGTTACGCCGCGTTAAGGGAGGCTAGGGGTTTGCTGCTTTTTGAGGTGCACGCTAATGGCTAACACTTAAGTATCTGCCAGGAGAGAGCAGTGTAAAAACAAGCCCGATTGTTTTGTCTTGTTTTGTTTTTTTAAAACCTACGTACGCATTGAAAGGCCCGCACTTGAGAGAATCGTCCCCTGTCTTTCAAGGGACGTACTCTTAAGATGAAGCTGTTCCCGCGTTGGCGACAACTTAACTGTCACTTGTCTGCAGCTTTGCATCGTTGGACTTGGAAACCCTCCTCGGATTTACTTTGTTACGTGTATGTTAGCAAGTGACAGCTTACATGTCGTTAAGAAAACACGTTTTGTTTACAATTTAGCAGTAAAGATAAAACATTTGTAAAACAATTTCAGGGAGCTTGTAACTTGGATGCAACCTTAAGTGTGGGTTTTTTTTTTTTTTATTCTTTCAAATTCTGCTGCTGCTTAACGGAAACTGAGAGATTGCATTTCATTTTGCAAGTACTGAGGAAAAAGACCAAAAGAACTGAGGGGTTCCTCGTTCATTACCTGCGTTCTGGGTAGATCGTTGTGGCAAGGCACAGTGACGTGTCTTTAATACTACTGCTGTGTTTTAATTTTAAAGCACTTAATATACCAGATGAGGCCAGCCTTCCTGCTCTTTCCTCCAGTGTTTTACTAATGTAAATGTCACTGATCTTAGACTTCCCTTTCTCACTCATACAGTCTCCCTTGTGCAAGTGTCAATTCCTCTCCCCCCATGTCACATCATTCAAGAGACTGACAGAAACATTGGTCTTGGTTTCTGTATCGGTGATGTCTATTTCAGTGATCTTGTTATAGAAAGATATTAGCTCATTTTAATAAAGTATTCTAAAAGAGCTGTACTTGAAGCTGCAATCCAGAAGTTCCTGCTAGGAAAGCCTCCTGAATTTTGTACTTCTTTACAGAGAGTTGCAGAATTAAAAGGCACAAAGCAGACAGCAACAGGTTCAGCTGCTAGCACATCATCTCATCCTGTCAAGAGAAAAACTATTGACACAGAAAATACAGAGTTGAAGAAAGTAAAAGGTAAGGAGAGAAAAATACTTATCAAGTACTTGCCAGAATCTAGCCATTTTACATCTTGAATGTTTTTGGTTTGTTTTTTTCCTATGGAAGTGAGTGTGAATACACAAGACTGTTGAGTTAATGTCAGCCTGTTGCTGCTGAAAAGGGAAAAAGTCTGTCTTGCTCTTTCTCTGTGAGTTCACTGATCAGGAGAAAACTGCACTTTTGGTAGTCTACCTAGTTTTCTTCTGGGTTATTGGGTTCAATTAGGTCATGGGGCTGTGGGCTTGGTCAAAACAGAACTAGAAACAGTATAAGTTAAACAGTAGAAGCACTTGTTCAGAAGTAGTGTTATTCCTTTTCAGTGGGATCAAGCCATTGGATTACCACAAATCACGCATGAAAGTTCATGCTGAAAAGAAAGATAGTTAATTTTTTTCCCTTGGTGTTACTGAACATGTAAATATATGAAATACATGAAAGTGGGCATTTGTGAACTTGCTGCTGTAGTAAGACTTTATTTGAGGGATTTTTTTTTAAAAGTATGGGTTGTAAGAAGTGACTCTTGGCTGTTATACAGGTACGGACGAAAAGCCACATACGTCTACATCTGGGTAAGCAGATCTTATTACATGTGTTCTTTTTGTAACTGTACCAACCGTTACATTCTCACCCTGTTTTTCCTCATCTCTCCTTCCTAGCCAAGGGTAAAGATTCAGAGAATCAGCAGATCCCCGCTTCTGCTCATTTTCTAATGTGGGTGTATATTCCTGAACATGGCAGCATCTTCCTCAGTGCAGATGAGAAAATCATGGTATTAACTCTAGGGCCTGTGACAAAACAGGAATTATTTTACTGTCACTATCAGACTTTTAAAGATTAGTATGTGGTGGTAGTACGCAGTTTGCTAGAATGAAAATAACTAGATTGTGGCATGCACTCTAATCTTCAATGCTAGCATACTGCAGAAGAGATGGTAGTCTGAAATTAAGACAAATTTTAAATGTACATTTAAATGATATTTATTCACAAAACTACTAACAAATGTCATCAACAGATCTTTGTTAAGATGTTTTTGTCACTTAAAATTCATGTAAATGCATATCTTGCAGTTGAACTCTCACAAATATAGGAGTGTATTTGACTTCAAGGGATTGGGTTAAGCATCTTACTGCCACTAAAGATTTTTGATGGTATTTGGATATCTTTGTGGGGTCGGTAGATGTCACACGGGGCCTGCAGGTCTCCTGTACGCTTCTTAACAGGATAAATTATTATTGTCTTGCATAGATATTACGTGCTGTTATCTTGACACTAGAAGACGCTTACCTTGTAGAAATTTTGAGTGTGTGTGCAAAATTAACGGTTGAGTGGTTTGTTCATTATTAAACCAATCAGTATGATGATTTTAAAATATAACCTGGAAAAATGTTTGGCTTGGAGGCCTGCAGGTATTCTAAGCAAATCTGGGTTTTCTCATTGCTGAACCTGTGTGGCCCTTCTAAGCTGCAGTTCTGAGCCGCAGTAGATACCCCAAATAAGTAGCTGTGTTTATACATGAAGGTTATCAAGGTTTACGTGACATTAATACGACCGCTGAACTATGAATTTTGTATTTAATGTGTTCACAGCAGGTATACAGACGCAAATAACTTCGAATGTGGAAATAGAGTTACCGTATCTGCCATTCCTCCAAATGCACTTTGTTACAGGATATTTTTATTAATGTTTCTGATATTGAATATTCAAACAGAAAAATGGAACTGAAATCTGTTTTCAGAATTAATCTGAGCATTCCTGGGGAACTTCAAAAAAAAAAAAAAAAAAGGAACAAGTATGTGCTGCCTTCAGACAATGGTTACATCGGTAGCTGCGCAGTTTAGGGTATTGCACAATATCTAAAAGATCGTATTGCTCACAGATCGAATAGGCTTTGGATGCTAGACTGTAACTGATTTTTGTGAAGTTTGAAATAGTTCTGTTTTGTGTTCTTTACTAGGCTACCAGCAGATTTTTTTGATGAAACAGAGCAAGATAGTGCAAACAAACAGCTTTCAAAGGGTTCAGGTCCCAGTTTATTGTCAGGAAATTACGATGATGATGATGATGAAGAAGAACAAGATCAATCAAACAAATCTTGTGTTACGCATAATACTGAAATTCCACCTCCAACTCAAGAAGTAATAGCTAATTCTCTGCCTGCAGGTAACGATGACTGAAATAGTAAGTGATTCAGTAAGAAGAAGCTGTGTTTTAACTGATGATGGAAGGGTTTTAATTTACTTTTCTAATTATTGCTATTAGCTGGTTAGGGTGTGTTATATTGGAAGTAGAGAAAGGAGATTCTCTGCTAGTTTGTTATTGTGTGGTGTTTTCTGAGCATGCTTATTGATTTTATGTTCTAATTGTTTGAGGCTGTCAAGTGAAATAATGTCTGGCTGTTCTTCCCTTGATTCAGTAAGGTATTAATTGAAATTCCTGTCTTCTGTCTAGTCAGAACTATAAAGAAGCTTGAACAGTTCTTTTTGTTCATCGGCTTCTGTCCTTTCTTGTAGACTTCTTTGACAGCAAAACCACAGCTGCTCCTATAGTTTCCCATTCAGGGTCCATACAGAAAGCAGAGATACAAGAGAAGATAGTGGAAAGGTAAGCAGTCAAATCAAATACTGATAAATTTGGGACTTGTAAATAAACATTATCCTTCCCGGAAATACAGACTGTGATCACTTAAAAATCTGTCATATTGGTAACTTGTATTTGGAATAGTTTGTATATACATCAGCATCGAGCATTATTTCAGACAGGTATTTCACACCCTAAGGGCAGGATAAGAGAAGAAGTAATGCCATACGGTGTCTGTTAAACATCTCCATTTGCAATTTTTAACACAGGATACTTCTGAAGCTTAGTGTCAACCACTGGTTTTTACTGTTTAAAGAAAACCATTTGCTTGTTCTGTAGTAACAGTTCAGCTCACTTGGGCACTTTTTTAGACAGTGGTTTAGGCTTTCAAAAGTAGAGACTGCTGTTAAAATGTTTGGGTGCTCAGCACACTGGAAAGAATAGTTTAAGAAGCCTAAGCTCTTGTTTTGACAGTGGGGTTTAAACCTGTCTGTGCAGTCCTTGTAAGTTAGATAAGACCAAACTGAAGAAGCAAGTTTTGATGGTTGTAGGTAAAACTTGGGGCGTAAAAAAAACTTGCTTCATTTCTAGGTCCTTTTATAAAAGATTATGGATTTTATTCTTGACTATTTTTAACGCTACAATAAAGCAGGTTGCAAAGTGTTAACTCGAGATAATAGTAATCAAACATTTCAGGAAAGAAAACACCGCTGAAGCTTTGCCAGAAGGTTTCTTTGATGATCCTGAAGTGGATGCAAAAGTAAGTGATCTGCTCATTTGATGCTGCTGGATTTTTTTCTGCCAGTTGTAATGATTTTCTGAGTAGTGAAGATGCTTTTCCAGGTAATTAGTCATACCAGAATACAAGAAAATGACTGAACTATTTTGGTTCGTATTAATTAGAAGACATGAAAAGGGGCAGAGAGGGGCAAGAAGAGCTTGTTAAATCATCTCTCATAGCGTATTTTTGATTGTGGTGCCTTTGTGGCTCTTAAAGAAAACTAAAGAAGTGTTATTTGTTGGCTAAAACGCTGGACTGAGATTTGGACAATCCACCTGTTACTTTTATTTCTTTGAGTCACCCCGGGAAAAGCGTTTCACTGAATTTGTACATCCAATTCTGCCTCTGAATTGAGGATATAAAAACAGTTCTCTAACGTCCTTTGAGAGATCCTGTTGAAAAGTGTTAAGAGTTACTATGCAACTGATACTATGCATCCTGTTAGAATGAAAATAGGTAGATTATTGCATATACCGTGATCTCTAGTACTGGCATACTATAACAGTGATCTTGGTTTTCAACCCTCTTGTCTTTTACTGTTATGGGTTTTTTTGATGCTTGGAAAAGAAAAGAAAGGTGCGCATTCAATGTGTTTGTCAAAAAAATCACAACTAAAAATCTTGGAATTTTGATCAAAATCATTCATACTTCCTTCAACTTGCACAGTACCAAATGACGACCAAAATAAACAGATATTTGAAATACAAAGCTTTTTTTGTTTGTAAAATTTACCACAGATTTGATGACTTTCCTGCTTTCTTTATTGAAATAATACTGTGGTAGGCTCAAAGTCTTTTTTATTTTCCTTGAGTATATTTCCCTATTTTTCACACTGTGGAAGGCTGCTGGTGTATTTAAATTGAGTCGAGTCATGACTTCTGATTTGGAGAGCTTCCAAATAATGCTTCTTTACATTCAGTTAGTTCCACTGTCACAATTACAGGCTTAGGTGTGTCTTAGTTGCTCTGGCAAGATTCTTTTGGCACCACTCGTGCCCACATGTTGGCATATGTGAATAGTTTTGAATAATGACATTCTGAATATTGAGTTACATAGCTGAAAAAAATGCACTTTTTTTTTTTTGCATATGACTAATTGGTATGTTACACTTTTCAAATACTTGGTTTCACCGTGAGTTGGGAAGCTTGTAGAAAGCGGGAATGTCTAGCAGGCAAAGGAGAATCTGCTTGTATCTGTGAGGACACTGGTTAGTGATCTTTGTTCTGGTCATTGCCTCAGCTGATAAAATTTACAAGTGGATACATGTTCCAATAAGCTCTTCTTGAATTGCTTGCAGGTATTCTTCTCTTTAATCAGCCCTTTCTAAGTTTTGCTAATATGCAGGGGAAGGAAAATGTTTGTGACATCGCTTATGTTGTGATTGCTGCAGTGTTTCTGTGTTGGAATCATACAAAAATAATTATTTTCAGAATTAACTGAGCTTTTTGGAAGGGAGATTGTGGGCTTGAAAAATGTTGGTTCTTTACATCAGGAATTTATAAAGCATATAAATTCTGGATTAGATAAATATTTCAAGGAAAAATAATACCTTTAGTCTTTAAATTTATTGTAAGAAATACAAATAATTATGAATTACAAAAGACAACCACAATGCATAATAACACAGTACATACACATATGATAGAAATAATCACAGAACAGAAAAATGAAATGACGACTATAACTTCCCAGTACGTAGTTTGCTTGGAAGCTTCTAATTTATTCTATAAACTTAATTCATACTACTGGATTTTGTATAATCGTTCAGGAACAAAACGTACCAAACTGTTGTCTTTACCATGATGATGACTGATGTGTTACCAAAAGAGAGGAATGAATAAAGGAAAAATAAAACTAATGCAAAAAGATGATGTCATGAATTATTCTGTTCAAACTGCTTAGTTCTCCCAGCTATATAATTTCCACCCAGTCCAGAGCCAGGCATAATCTCTCATCTAACATATGTTATATGCCACATCTTACAGTCTTGAATTGTGGAAGTTTTGGTTACACAGGTAGATTATCTTGCTTATTTGCTTGTATTAAAAGCACAGTCTGGTTTTGATTACCTTAGTTGTAGATCTTAGACACATTCTTACAGCTACTTGCTTTTTCAGTCTTTTTGTCTTAGTAATTAATGCCGTCTACCACAGAAGAGAAAGCTTTGCATGTCGTTAAAATTGGTATGCAGCTGTACTATTCCTTCTGTTAGCCAACAAAATTAGACTAGATTTGAAATATAGTCAGACTATCTAACACCAGTCAGACTAGTGACTGAATCATTTGATATTTTATGTTATGCCAAAGGCAAATAATTCACTCCTTTTTGGCTTGTGAGATAGCTACTATATATGATTGAACAGGCAGCTTACAGAAGAATTTAGAAGTTACCACCTAACGTAGTGAAATTACAGACCATCAAATTAACAGACTTAGTCACTTTTTTTAATCCAAACATTCCACACTATCCATTCTTAGTCAATTATTCTTTAATGCTAGAGTCAAGGATGTTGTTTTAATCCAGGAGTAGAGTCAGATGTTTTCCTCCAAAACCATTGTGCAGCTGCACTCTCTTGTTCATATACATTACTTAATCGGAGTTATGTTGACCAGACTTTTTGGAGAACACGGCATAATTTGTTCTGTTTCTCAGGTGTTTTATTTCGGAGAACACAGCATAATTTGTTCTGTTTCTCCAGGTGTTTTACAGTGCCCCAGAGTCACTAGATGTAAATTGTTAATAAGCCTGCTTTTTCATGTTCCTTAGGTGCGAAAAGTTGATGCTCCAAAGGATCAGATGGACAAAGAATGGGATGAATTTCAAAAGGCAATGCGACAGGTCAACACAGTAAGTAATGGAATCTATTTTTATTGATTCTAAATACTATACACAATAAGGAAAACAACAGTTTCATGCAGCTCTGCAGAATGACTGACATCTGCATTTGTCAGTTGTTCGTTGCAATGCAGTGTGTAGTTAAATGCACTTTACAAATGAGCAAAGGGTTCCTTCTGTTTTCCGCTTAAGGGAAATTAAGTTGAAAAAACTTACGATCAGGATCCAGTCATCAATATATATCTAGTTACATTTGTTAAATTGTATTTAAATAAGATAGCATATACCTCAGATCAGCATCCTGAGGTGTGTCCTGTATCCAAACAGGACATAATTGTGGGCTCTTATTTAGATGAGATATATTCATATTTTAACCTTGAAAAAAACAGAACAGAACACCACCTGTTTGTCTGTCTTTTTCAAAAAGGATCTATAAAGTGTAGGTAACCTGCGTTTTATGGTTGACTTAAATGTTCTGGAAAGGAGCCCCAAAATTTGGGAAAGTGACAGAAGATTTTGTGTGTGTGAGACCTAAGTTGGCCGCAATTTTTATGTACCTCCATTTTTTACTGTTGAGCATTGCATGGAAAGTCTTCCCGTGCTTTTTTGTACGATACAAAACACTCGTTACAGATACCTGGTGTTCTCAATCTTCCCCTAGAGTATTTGCTAGGTTTTTTTAATTTTAATTGTAAATAATTGCTCGTATGTCAACTGCTAAGAAAAGTGGTGCAAAAAACCTTATCATTGCTCATTTTAAAGTGGTCAGCACTGTAAACAGAGCGAATGTTCATACAAAAGCAGTGGTGGATACATTTTGCTAGCATTAGCCATTCAGATAATTCTTCAGCTTAGAAGGAATCTTCTCAGTTATGCGTGGACCATTGATTGCATAGCATCTCCCAGACATTCAGATTTGAGAAAGTATATGCTGAAAAAAATAACAGGTTAGAAACACTTCGGGATCTAGTGGGAATATTTAACCAATACTTTCAATAAGCTTGTGTAATTTAGTCCCAAGCATTGGGATACAGCTCCTATTTCAGCCTCAGACTTTGGATGCGCGTAGTTTGTTTATGCTCAGTTTCAAATAGTAGCATATTGAAAAATTCAAAAGGTTAACCCCAAAGCAGCCAAACTACTTTTAACTTTTAGTTTTAAGAAAAAGCATTTCCATTTCAAATTAAACCAGATCCGTTTTTTTCTGTATTTGCCTCCAGAGTCTTTTGTGAAGGTGGGAGTATTTGTATAGGAGATTGACACTGGCTTGAGGTAGGGGGGAGGAAGGGAAGACACAGACATCAAAAAGGAACAACAGTGAAATTCAGGATGAAGGTGAATTTTCTTAGCGCTTTTCTGGTTTAGATTTCAGAAGCAATAGTGGCAGAAGAGGATGAGGAGGGACGACTAGATCGTCAGATTGGAGAAATTGACGAACAGATGTAAGTAGATCAATTTTTCCTCAAACTTTCTGTTCTCCAGCAGTAATGGATCACTATTTGACTAGAGTGATAAAAACGTTTTTAATCTTCTGTGATACTACCTTTCATTAATCACCTAAATATTTGAAGGAGAAAGACAGGCTCCCTCAAATTGCAGAATGATACCTAATAAAAACATGAATTTTGGTGCAAAGTTATGTAATTACTTGCAAAGAGAGAATGCGCTAGAATTACTGAAAATACAGCAAACAGGCATGGGCAAAATAAAGCAATAGACAGCAAATTCTTTGAACAAACTGTCCCCCTTCGCCCTGTCAGATGTCTTAATTTGTATTTCTCTGTGAATTCTGATTGATGTTGAACTCATGTGAACACTTTTAAAAAAACAAGGTCTGATATTCTGCACTGCAATTAAAATTTCGATAACGAGATTTGTGTTTTGACCATCCATTTGCTGTACTGAAAATGCCCTGTTCTGTGACTTAACTCTTCTTGTTTCTAATAAAAGTTTACTTAAAGGTTTTGTTGAATGATGCACTTCATTACATGAAGTGGGTCGTTTTGTTTTGTTGAAATGGTAGGTGTAGCAGTTGGATAAGCATTAGTTTAAACTCTAAGTAACCTGAAATACAGCTTAGTAGAACAGATTGTTACCATTATCATGTAGCTTCACACATTGATTAACAGTGATTATGGCAATGCTAGTGATTGGAAAAAAAAAAAAAAAAAGATGAATTCTGATTTTAATGAACCTTGCAACAAAAAGAAGGCACTAAAAATTAAAGCAATGCTTAAGCCACCTGGCCAGATTTACATGCTACAGATAATCAGCGTATAGTAACAATAGTGTTGGGATCAAACTGAGCTTTGATAGTACAGGGATGTCTTTTAACAATGTCCATGTAATTTTGGAGAGGGCTTGAGCTAAACCTGGCTGCCTTTGAGCATTCACTTTTACCAGTAGCTTAGGATGCTATAGTATGTAGAACCAAATTCAGAAATTTGTAGAGAATTTCAAGTTTGTTACCGTAATCATTTTTCCCAAAATAAAAGTTCCAAATCGATTTTTAAAGACTGTTTTTGTAGCTTTGTCTTCTGAGTGCATTTAAATGCAGGCTATTTCGAATTAAATTCAAAATCAAATTAATTCCAGTTACATTCATGTTTTCCTTAGCCTTCAAATCTTCAGCTGTGCCTGCCTGTAAGTAATCATGTTGCAGATATGCAAGGGGAAACAGGATCCAGATAATAATCTTTCCTTGTTGACTCTTCCTAACAAACAGGAATGAAAGAAGCAAAGATGTATTTAAATCAGGCTGATACTACTTGGCATTTTCAACAAAATACCCTGTTAAAATGGCTAGAATCATTGTTATAAAACATATTTCAAGGACAGAACTTTTTAAGTAAGTGGAAAACTGAAACTCGTGGATTATGTTTACTTAAAATGTTCTGTTACAGCACACAGTAAGCCAATAAAGGATCGGAACACTTGTGCTGCCTTTTTGTTTTCAGAGATGCCATCACGAAGTTATCAAAATTGATAGCCAATTGATATCTCACCTTTCTACCGTATATGAAAACCATAAGTGGAGCAAAGAATGGCGTCTCTTCTTGTGTGGAAGTGGATATTGGTTCTGTGCTTTTTTTAAAATGATTTGTGGTGGTATTGCAGTTGTGAAATATTTGGATTAGATCTCATTACTGGAGAATTGACCACACCTCGCCTCTGGTCTGTTTCCACTTGATTAAGACAGAGAAGGTGCACTAGCATATTGAAAGCTTATTTTTTTAATTGATGGGAAGCTGTGGAGCTTTTTTTTATCCAAAGTTGGAGAAGCAAAATCCAGCACTGTAGAAAATCCAATTAATGTGGAAAGGCCACAAGTATTAATGGGTGGTTTACTTTTCAACAGTGAATGTTACCGCCGTGTTGAGCTTTTGCGTAACCGTCAGGATCTGATGAAGGAGAAGTTAAAGGAAGCCATGAGATTAAGAGCAACTCAACAGAAAGAGGACGAGGCTATTGGTAGCGAAGATGAAGAAGAATTGCAGGATTTGCTGTCTCAAGACTGGCGGGTGAAAGGGGCTTTGTTGTAGCATTTCTGCAACGTGGCTGATACTCTCTTTATCTGTGATGTTACTTCCGTTGTTAGAAGTGAGATGCTTTTGTTAAATATTTATTTAAAGAGGATCGTGAGGTGGTAAAGAGCCAAGCGTATTAAAAAAAATAATCTTTGTAGATCTACAATGGTGTATTACTTGCTGTAAAAACTGTATATTGCAAATGTTTTACAATATTGAATGTACCTTTCCTATTAAAATTATTGGTTTCCTACCAGAGGTATTTTCATGGGATTAGTAATTAACTGAAGAATCTCTAAGGTTTTGGAAGCATTAGATATATCTGGTAATTTTGAGACTTGGATTATTGTGTATAGAAGTAAAGGACTAGCAAAAGTGATAGTGTATGGAGTTTTCCCAGACTGGGGGGTTAGGGAAAGGAAAATATCAGGCATTTATGTTATCTTAAAATTTGTAAGTGCTCTTCTGTCCATTGCCCCAGCTCCCAATAAAATATGTACATTTTTTTCAGGATCTGTTACAGTTTCTCTGTGTATGTAGGGCCAAGCTCAGAAACGTTGAGCTACAGCTTCTGCACAGTGTATGCTCTGTGATGTGCCATAGGCAGTGCTGAGTATTTTTCTTTATAGTATCTTGTTTTGCTTAGTGCAGCCATAGTTTAGCATACCTCACATTTCTTCAATCAGAGGGATGAAAACGCAATGGTTACATATTTGCATAACTAAATGAAAGGGTGGCAAAACGCCAGAGAGGAAGGTACTGCACTGGAAACTGATGAGGTAAAATAATTTATCTAGCTGCAAAGACTGGAAGTTTTCTTAAGATACTGTCTTAAGCACAGAGAGCACCTAAATTGATTTCTGTTCTGATAAACACAGATGAAGTAAGCTCAAGAACCAAGAAACTTGACAAGATTGGGATGTGGAAAGCACAACTACCTTGAGCTTTGGTAAGTGTCTTTTTTTTTTATGAAGCATATTTTTTTTACTTTTGCAAATCTTAAAGCATTTCAAATGTGCTGAGGACTTTTGAAAAAGGACAAATGTGTGGTTTAATTTTTATCAAAAAGTAAAGTTGTGAAGGAACAGCTTAACATTTTCCTGTTTTAAAGATTCTAGTTTTAAAACAAGTTAGTGAGGTTTTAAGGGAGAAAACAAGCTTTGTTCTTACGAGAGCATTCTAGATGCTCGCTTCAAAGATGTTTATTAACCAAGCAATAAAGAGAAAAACTAAAGCTTGATGTTTGATTTGCCTGTTTTGGAAGAAAGACTTGATATGGTGGGAGCCCTTTCCGTATTGTGAGATGCTTTTTTACCACTCCTGGCTTCCATGATCCTTGGGTTCAGCTCTTTATATTTATAAAGCTGTCAAAATTCAAGCAATGGTCCTTAGCAGTTTGGTGCATCCATTTATGCCTGCTCACACATGCTGGCTTACAGCTGTTGTTTTTTGACTGATTTAATAACCGTAAGTGTAAGTAGGTGTTACTGCTAAAATGTTTGACACAACACTGCAGTCTTACATGAATTAGTACTGTTGTTGGGATAGCAACGTTCAGAGAGTATTGAAATACAGAATACAGAAACATTCAGAGAGTATTGAAACAAATAATGAATGTTTTGGCAAGTTGGAGAAAACTTAGTTGGGCCAAAACTGAAATAAAATTTCCTTTTATAGCGTGAAACATTTGAGTATCAATGTATAAGGCGCCTATTGTGCTGTAGTGAAATATCTCTAGATCCATTTATCACTATGAAGAGAACTTTCAGCTGAGAGGGTGGTACAATATTAGCAGATGGACAGGTTTTTTTCAGAACAAAACAAAAGACAGTCCCCCAGTTTCACTCTCAGAAGAGCTAAGCTAAGTTTGTAATAGTTCTGCTTATCTTTACTTTTCAGTCACTCATCAAAGCATACTAGCTTGCTAACACTGAACTTTAGAACCGCTCTCTGCATTTGGCTTAATGTCAGAGAAACAGATGTGACTAAAGTCAGGTTACACTGAGCGTCATGAATGTACATGTTTTTACAGTATAAAAATGTTAATCTCCTGAGATTATAAGTTCCATTTTGTACGTACATCTGTAACTTCACTTTCATTTTGTACATCAATCTGCAAATCATGGTTTCAACTGCAGATAAATAGGAAAGGAAGTGAGCGTTAGAACGGTTCAGCTGTTTAGCTCAGCTGCCCTCCTCTTTAGAGATACCTCGTGGTAAGAAGCTAAAGGCAGCGAGTTTAGTTGCAGTGGAGGGAGCTTGTACATTCAAATCCAAACCAGTGCAGCCCATTGTTTTAATTATTATTAGGAATAGATGGCAGGAATAAACACCAGATCACTCATCACTATATTGATTATCTTTGCATAACTTCTGTTGAAACAGTAAAGACGAGGGACCAGCCAGCGGGTTATGTATTGCTGGGGAAGTAACTGACAGCATTGGTCCCTCTTGGTTGTTGCTTGTTTAAGATTTGATGCTTTTTTCCTTGGAGGAATCTCGTAGATCCACAAATAGTGTTGTATACAGGTTTTATACAGCTTACTGCGTACAACTGTACATTTCTTCATTTGAAACAAAGCTTTCGGAGAGCTTTGTGAAGAAGATAGGAGTGGCTTTGCTATCTGTATCCTACGTGACCATTGATGTACATGTGCTGTTGTGTCGAGAAGGCAAGAAATCATCCTGCTTTTTAGCAATGAAAGTAGCATGGCTGTAAGGGAGAAAAGGGAATTATCTCAACCTTACTGAACAGTCAAGCTAATGTATCAAGGTAAATGATCTCCTGTGTCTTAGAAAAACATAGGCATAATTAATTTATATTTTAAATCTCTCCTCTGTTTTAGAAAACAATTTTATGAACTTCTGATGAGCTAGATAATTAACCAGAGCAAATAATTGTTTTTAAAAATATGTACTTCCTTAATTTCTTTCTAACTTCTTAACTTTCTTGAATTATATTTTTAAACAATAAAGATGAAAGCAGTCCTAATAACTAGCTCTGTCCATAGCCACTATTAAAAAATGAAGTTTTAATCTCTGGCACAGTGGAATTCAGAAGAATATTTTATTTCTCTGATCTCCAGGACTTCAAGAAAACTGAAGAATCAGATTTAAGGGGGAAGAGAGCATTTGTAATCCTTATTTATTGAAATACTAATGGAGAGTGTTGCCCAAATTTAAGAACTGTGGGATTTCATGCCACCAAAAAATAGTGATTCCCAGCTCAGTGTTTCTGAAACTGGTAAGTGACTTTAAGGGCCAAAATGTGTGTGCATGTGTGTTTGAAATGGAGGTCCAAGTAGCAGCTCTGCAGGGAGCAGATAACCATAGCTGCTACTGCCAGTTGGTGGTTAGCTGTTCTCTGGCAAGTGCAAACAATCACAAATGGTAATCTGTGTGCTAACTTCTCTCCCGTCATGGAAGAAATAAGCTGCTGCTGTCATGACTTAGAAGTAGATGTGGAAAAAGGGCTGTATTTGGTACAGAGGAGCCCAAAAGTGATTGCGCAAAAACAACCAAACCAAAATAACAGCAGCAAACAAAACAATGTTCTCATTTGCTAACATGATTGTTTGTCATTCCTCCACTAAAGCGTATAATTTTAAAATTTGCTTTGGAATCACAAATACTAGTTAAAAAGAACACTAACATTAGCTTTGGTCAGCCCCCCTGCCAATACATTCAATTTGAGGAGAGACAAATTTTGCTTATTACATGCCACTGTAATTAAATTCTCTGCATTTTATCATCTTAAAAACGCTGGGCTAGAAATAGCTCAAATAAGAAAAGTCATATTACTCAAAGATTTTCAGCACTTAAAAATACTTTCTTTTTTCTTACAATCAAGAAACCTTGCACTAGGAAATCAGACACTCAACCAAAAGGAATCATGCTGTAGCTGTCATTAGAAACCATAATATCAGTATATAATGTTTCAGAAATTCCCTTTCATTAGGTAACATCAGATGAATTTGACACTTCTCTTTCAGTTACTGTCTTGAGACATATGCCAGTCTGTAGAGTGACAGGACACATGCATTGATGCAGAAACTGATTTAATCAACATTACTGTGTTCCTTCCTGGAACCAAGGAGTAAGTACACTTCAATGGCAAGAAAGGCGGTATATACTTGTATCCCTAGAAAGTGTCACTCAGCCCAGGAGATTGAAATTTTTTGGTGTGAAGCAATTTTTCAGTATCTGCCTTCATTTAATCTTCTGTTCATCCCTTCACTTAGAACTATCCTGGCCTGTTAGCTGGGAAAAGAAATGCGAGCAATTCCCTTGTGTAGTCATCTAAGCCAGGTCTTTCTCCCAAACATATAGCTGAGGGACTAACGCCTTGCGTAATTGGTGGTTACAGCGCTTATAGAGGGTGTAAGAGATCTGTGTTCAAATCCTTCCTCTCTATGCTGTCCTTTGAACCTACAGTTCCTCTGATCTAGTTGAGCAGCCTAACAATTGCAGTCTTTCCTGTAGAAGCTGTGCCACTGCAAAATGATTGAATTAGCGAGCGTGTGTGACTTGTCTGATAATCACGACACTTGCCTGAGAAGGGGTAGGTCCTGTTCCAAGTGCGTAAACAGTGCTGAAATACATTCAGCTGAGACTGAGGCTATGGAATAAACTGGATTTGGATCTCCCCCATCCTGGAGAAGCACTCTTACTTTGATGCTGTTGGGTATTGAATGAAAAAACAGCTTCCATTTCTTCCTAGTTCGGGTGGGGAAGGTTCAGTGCATGCTTTAAGACTGTCTTGTGAAATCTCACAGAAACACCTTGCCCGTGCAGCCCGGTGAGGCTGAGGCACTTCCCAGGTGCCTACATTTGTGGCACCAGTGAGATCCATGCTGTTAGCTTCCTAGGAGCCTTGACTTGGCACAAATATGCACGTTGGGGCCCCTAAATGCCTTCTGGCTATGTCTGAGAACAGAAAGCACTCTGGACTAGGTTATGTGGCTGAATACCTCTAACTTCTTTGTTTGTTTGTTTGTTTTCTTTCTGGTTGACTATTCCAGCTGGCATTTGTACTTTCTATTTTTTTTTCACTAGAGAAACACAACAGAGCTTCTTGAATTCGTTTGAGATGTTTGCCAGAACTCTGATACCAATTTGATGATGTGAAAGCTGCAGAACTTGTGTTATCTTTCATTTGGAAACTCACAGTTGTGTGGGCAGTGACCTTTTCATATTGGGTGCATGCTTCCTCTTATCTACCTTTGGGCATGAGTGGTTTAGTTTTCTATCTTGGATAATACTATTTTTTACTTTTTTTTTTCCCCCCTCCAGATGTACCTTGTTGGTTTTGTTTGCCTGTTTTCGATGTTAAAGCTATCCAGGAACTTTTTCTTGCCGCTCAGAAATCTTTTCCAACTAAAATAATTGAGTCCTCAATTAGCCTAGATTTTATCACATTTCTGCCTGTATTTTTTGCAAAAGCCCTCTCAAAAGACTTCTCTTTTTCCTTCCTTTGTCCACGTGTCTTTATTTTAGCTCTCCTCATTCCACACACAAACGTGCCCGTGCACTAGTTTGTTTAAATCTCAGCCTGTTCTAGTCGATTCTGCAAGGCACATGAGAATTATTTATGTGAAAGATGCTATGCACAACAGAGCTGCTGCTGCCCTTTGCCTAGCAGCTTTACTGGGAGAGCAAAGCCTTGACCTACTTAGTGTTGAGCTGCAATAATGTTCTCTTTTTTTCATTTACGCTAGCCAGAGAAATAGCTTTTGCTGTTTAGGAAATGAAGAATATGGAGGTCCCTGCTGTGAAAGCAGCTTCAGCTCTCCTTTCAAGAGTAAGAAATTAAATATATTTTAACTAATGATAACACAGATTTTTATCGGGGCGAAGGTTAGTACTACAACCTGTAGTTCTTCCAGCCTAAGGGCTGGCATAGCTAATTCAACATTGGGTAGAGCTTCCTGGGTGCTGGCATGCAACGAGGCATTCTGTAATCTTCCTCGGCAGCCTTTATTGTCAAGAGATGCTCTGTGGCTGCATCTGTATTGAAAAAGCTGTTGACTTCTACAGGTTTCCAGGTCTGTATGCATGTCTTGATCATATCGTAGTTCCAGGCTCAGACTCAAGACCAAGATATGTAGCAGGTCTCTGTACCCTAGAGTCCATGGAAAATAATAGCGATATGCCCCACAAGTACTCAGCCGGGGCAGTGAGGGGAACCGGGACCCCAAGCAAAGTACCAGGAGACAAGTACAGACCTTAGTAGAGTAGGGATGGAGGTTGTGGAATTAGTCTCACGTCATTAAGGATGCTACTCACTTGCACTGCCAAAACCTCTGCTTTCTCATGAGGATAAAGCATTAAACGTGAAAGTATTGCCAACACCCTAAGAGGAGAGGTGGCCAGAGCGCAGCCAGAAGCGCTGTATGCAGCAACGACTCAGAGCCAGCCCCTTTCTTTCGCTTTCCTGTGAAGGGATAACTTGAGGCTGTGACTGCAGTGCTGCAGCAGACCCGAAGGAGGAGCTGAATGGCTCAAGCAGTGTGTCAGGGCAGGATGAGACACTTCCCTGGGCCAGCTCTCCAGTCTCCCTTTTTAACGCAAATTGTAATGCTCCTCCCAGCTGCTGGCCTAGCTTCCTGGCTGGGTGAAAGGTGCTGTCTAGAAGCCTCGTCGCTGAACAGTGCTGCTGGGATTGGGAAAATACGAAGGGTCTTAGCAATATTGTACTCGGTATCCAAGTTTGTTCTTTTGTTCTTGTTTTTCTTTCCCCAGTATCTGATCTTAAAATCAGTATGGGGAAACACGAGAGATACAAACCAGTGGCTTCTTGTACCAAGAAGCCAGATTCTGTCTTTTCTATGCAGCGTGAGTTTTCCGAAAGCAACTTTGTTAAAAACGAAATAAGGTTTTGCAGAGATACTGCTTACTAATTACACAATTTGGCTCCATCTAATCATGAAAAGACTCATCATCCCTGACAATGGGCTAATGTACTTCTAACGTTGCCAGTATTGCACAGTTGTTACACTCTTTCCCAATGAGCACTGGGACCTTAAGCGTGATGATATGAAACCTTTAATCATTAATGAAAACAAGCAATTTGTCTATGACCTTAGTTTGACAATCCATAAAATAGTGTTTCTCAAATGACAAATTAGCAACTTGGTTACAAAGAACAAAGTTTAAACAACACAACAGTTGTATGCACAAAGCTACCACGTCTTTTTTTTAAATCAGGAAAAAAATTTATTTATAAAAACGTCTCATTTAATTTACTGTCAAGTCTCTAGCTGAATACAGTGGTTTAGAACACTAACGGCCCATGCTTTTATACAGATTAGCCAAAGCATGAACATCAATGAAAATTAACCCCCAAAAATAACTTTTCTTTGCTGTATGTTATGAGCCACAACAGTGTTAAAACTGGAACAGTAATGAAAGCAACACAAGAGTTAGGAAGCACAGTTGCTTAAAGAGTAAAAGAAGTATTTTCTTTTGATGTCTCAGAATAATAAGAAAGTTAGAAATGGCAGAAACTCCTCTGTAGATTAGTCCATAGAAAGCATTGTCTCATGGGGCTTTGGAAAAGTCCTGTCTGGTGGCTAATGCACTAGGGCATGATGAGATACATTACAGAGCCCCCAGGCCAGTAACTTCTGAAGACAGCCTAAAATGTAGGAACAAAAACGAGGAAAAGAAAAGGGGGAAAAAAAAAAGGCAAAAAAAAAAAAAAAAGAAAAAAAATCTTCTCACTATTAAAAAAATAACACTTGAGTACAACCAGCATAGAACAGCATTTCAATGCAGGCAAGTTTTCTCACATAGAGGTTGGTAGTTTGTTTGTTTGTTTGTTTGTTTTTTTAAATGTCAGTTATTGAAACAGTTACAATAGTCCAGAACAATTTTACAGCAGTTTTCTAGAGCTCTTAAATAGCTGAGGTACCTTGACATTATTTCCAGTTTTTCCTTCATTATATACAAAAAAAAAAAAAACAACCAACCAACCAACAAAAAAACCAACAAAAAAAAAAACCAAAACAAAAAACCCAACAAAACCAACCAAACACCCCATTTGGATAAGTGCAAACTGTAACAATGGCAGGTCAACAAATGGTTACAGTGACAAAACTTAGTGCAAAGGTACTAAGGTGAAGAAAAGCCCACAGAATACAGAAATGACACAAAATACTGAGATAGTACTTAGCCCTATACAATAATAATAACACACTTTGAAATACCATGTTTTAAAAAGTATTGCATTTGCATTGTGTTTTTAGTTTATATTAAAATGCACTGAATACAGTTCAATTGTTAAAGCTTTGTGTCCAAGGAGTGCAAAGTGGATGAACGTGGCGGGCTAATGGGATTCTGGATTTGGAAGTGGTGAGGAAAACAATATTGCATTACTGAGTTATGCAACAGAAATTAAAAAGAAGGTGGATGGACAAACAGAAAATGCAGTTAAAAACTAGTTCCAACAGCTAGCAACCAGCCATTACATCACCCAGCTCTCTTCGGTTTGGCTGCAATTAGGTGTCTGGTTTTAGTTACTCTGAGCATCGTTAAGATCTTGTTAAAGGGATGTTACCTGTCCAGGCAGCAACCTTTGGATCTCCTTTGATAAGCACTAGATTTTATTCGTACTTACAGTACAGTCCGATTGCATGGTTAGGGGTGAGTTAAACAGGAATGTATTTAGAGAAACCTGACAAAAAATGGTCATTTTGGCTGAACAAAATATATGCGGGAGGGGGTACCAGAATAGCGACTGTGCATGTCTGGTTTGTACCTACTGTTAAGTACTTACGGAGACAAGTACTTTGTTGGTGTGTGTATAAGAGTAAAACATCTGAGCGCAAAAAAAAGGAGCCTGCTCTCCCTCCCTAAAGCGGGGTTCTTAAAATTACGTTTTTCCAACCCAGAGAAAAAGCGTTGCACCCTTTAAAAGAACGGAGTGGAAAGGCACGGGTGCCTGATATTTTTTTCTTGTTGTCTTCCAATCATTTTCGTTTAGGAGTTTTTCTCGGGCCAGAAAGCTTCATTTGTTGTACATAGAAGTACCTAAAGTTTGGTACTTTCTAGCCCCCATCTGCTCACAGGCAGGCGTCAGGGCAGGGGAGACGGGAGTCTTCAGGCCTGTTGAGAGCAGCAGAGTGACCGTGGGGGCCCAGCACTTCAGGTGGGATTTCAGGGGCGCTAGCAATCATCAGAAGTGCCAGATTTGCGGGCTCTAGCAACAGAAAAAAGTATCAGAGGTGCCCATTTGCCATAGAAAATTGTTCTGCAGTTGGAAGGATCCCTTCAAATGGATTTAACTTTCTTTTATATGCCAGGCAGTATTGCCGGAGCAGGACCGGGCTGTCAAAATTTTGCCTCATTTATGTTTTTTCTTTCTCGCCAGGTGTCTCCTTGCCGGGGTGGGGGCACCCTGCCGTGCTGCGGGGGGAAAGCCCCCGCGCCGGCGCCCGCCCGCTGTTGGAACTAGTTGGTAGGTGGTGCCCAGCTGTTAGTCGTTATGGAGAGCGGAAGACGACTTGAGTCGGCAACAGTTAACACTAGCAATTTAACAGAAAATAAAAGATGCCGTATTGTTTCCTTGATAACTAGGATCTACCACAGACTCTTGGTAGAGCTGGCAAAGCTTGCATTGTGTCTCATCCCTTCAATATGGAGCAAACTTCTGGCGGTCAGATTTCTTAACCCCGCTCGTCGAAGGAATTTTGGCAGTGTAAGCGGACAAACTCCCCGTGGCCCCCGCGGCGGCCGCGGCATTTAGTGCCAGGAGTGGGACAGTTTTCATGCCAAGCAGACTGGAGACAGGAACGGCATAGTGGGTGGTTGGCAGAGTTGGTAGGGGAGGGGGGGTACTGACGGTAACGGCGGAGGCGGCCGCCAGCACGGCCATGGAGGTGGGGGTGGAGGTAGGGGTGGCAGACTGAGAGAGGTTCATGTTGAGGTCAACAGGGGTCGTGACGGAAGCGGCCTGGGTGCTGACTTTAGCCATCTCTAAGCTGCAAACGAAGAGAGGAAGAGGAACAAACAGGTTGGGAGGGTCCAGCCAGGGCGGTGGGGC